ACACACACACACACACACGCACACACAAACACACGCACATATACACGAATGCACAGGTGGACATAGCGACACGGCAAAGGTACAGCTTCTGCAGGACATGTTCTCGACTGCTACTGGCCAGCCAGCGCAAGAAGCACCCACGAAGCCATGACGTCGTCGCACACGTTCCAACACACCAGCTCCAACAGCCCACCTTGCTGCTGCAGCCGGCCAGCAAGCGCCGCCAAAACGCGCAGTACCTCTTCTCCCCACACGACACGGCGTTCGTGCTGCAGAAGCTTCGTCAGCTCGGCGCTCAGCGCGTCGTTTGCATGGGCTGCCCATCCATTCATGAAGCCATCCAACAGCAGAACCGCCACCCAGAGGACAAGGAGCAGCAAGCAACACACCACCACCACCACCACCACCACCACCAGCAGCAGCAGCAGCAACAGCAGCAGCAGCACAGCTTAGGAAAAGGGGAGCACTCGGTTGTGTGCGACAGTGACGGCACCTGTCTGGACAGCATGCTGCTTGATTTGGATGACCGGTTCGCGCAGTTCTTCCCGACATCCTACGCCAAGTTCAACATGCTCAACACGTTCTTCTTCGACAGAACGGAGCAGATGCGCGCCCTCGACTTCATTGCCAGCGCTGATGCCCTTGTTGTTGATCCGCCTTTCGGCTGCCCACTGGCAGCACTCGCACACGCCATTCACTGGATACAGGACCGATCCCCACGCGGCCGGGCCATGCCTGTGCTGCTCTTCTTCCCGTACTTCTCTGCTGCGGGCCTTGCGCACGTGGTCCCAGAGCTGAAGCGCAGCAACTACTGCGTCACATACACAAACCACAAGACGTACACACAGCCCGCACCGGCGCTGGCACGTGCGCCCGCCGGCAATATCGTGGCGGATGCAGCGACACCGCCGGCACCAGGCAAGAAAGGCATGCAGCGCAAGCACAAGTACAGACACAAGAAAGGGAAGCAGAGAAGCAAAGGCAGTGATAGTGCGAGCCAAGATGTGGAAACAAACAACAACAACAACAGCAGCAATGCTGGTCCCGCCCGGCTGAAAGCATCTCCTGTTCGCATCTTCACCAACATCCCGCTATCTTCCTTTTCCCTCCCATCCAATCATTACAGGTGCGTGCGTGCGTGCGTGTGTGTGTGTGACGGTGTGTGTGTGTGTGTGTGTGTGTGTGACGGGGTGTGTGTATGTGTGTGTAAGGGTGAGTCGAGATGGGGTGTGTGGCTGCATGCTTTGGCGTGTATGCGTGTGTGCGACGAGACACGTTGCGCGTGCGCTCCTTCCTCCACTATGAAGCGCCCCACTGATTGGTTTCCACATTCACCGGTGCAATCGTATCAGGTTCTGTGAAGAGTGCCAGCTGTGGACGTTCAAGCACGCTCCCCACTGCAGTGCGTGCGGCGTGTGCCCGTCGTTGAACGGGGAACCGTACCACCACTGCACCGAGTGTAAGACATGTGTGAAGCCCCGCCGCGTGCACTGCGGCCGGTGCCGTCGGTGCGTGCCGGCGTCATCCCACAAGTGCGGGGTGCAGCTGCGAGAAGCAAGTGGACAGTGCTTCTTGTGCGGGGGGCGTGGCCATGCTATGATGCAATGCAAACGCAGACCTGAGCACCTACGGCATCTGGCTGCTGTGTGCAAGGCTGCGCTGCCTGAACAAACGCTTGCAGCCGTCAGTGCGCTGCAAACGTCTCGCACACAGCACGCATCGTCCGCGGCGACGTCAATTTCATCGTCATCGTCGACACCAACATTATCAACAACACCAACATCAGCATCGCCACAGCCGCGGAAGCGCGCAAAGCAGTGACGGCCAGCAACGCATATGGTGGGGGGGGGGCGAGATGGTACAGGAACATAGGCTAGCCACAGTCAGAAGCGCATGCTCTTACGATGCGCGCGTGTGTGTGCGTGTGTGTGTGTGTGCTTTTGTGATTCGTTGCATGCGCACCACCAGGCTCTTCTTGGTCATGCAACCACAGCGTTGCGGATAGCATTTCAGTGTATGTGTTGTGTATAAACGAGAGGCGAAGCATGACTGCAAAGTGAATTAGCTCACATCAACGAGGGAGGAGGAAATCAACGCTTCATAGAGCACTTGAACGAGTGTGCGGAACAGGAGAACACGGGCGTTGACGGCGAACGAAACGAAACTATGCAAGCTACCGGTGTTGCATTCAATACGTCATGTAACAGCTTTCTTCTCACTTGATCAACAAACAACCCAGCGTGTGGTAGGAGCGCACGACTGCGCAACCACGGCAGCAAAACAATGTAATAACAGAGCAGAACAACGGAGCGAAACAGAAAAGCAGGAAAGCTCCAACAGAAGCCAATGGAAAACACACAGAGTAAGAAGATACGCACACCCACAGCAGATCAACAGGGGTGCAGCACCAGGCGTGAACTGAGCATGTATTAATGCAGCCACGCGATGGCATTACGCCTCCACCTCATCGTATTCAAAAGGTGAGTGGTGGTCGACAGAAGCGTAGTACTCGCTTACGTCGTCGGGCTCGGTCCAAAGATCAGAGCCGCTGTATTTGGTTGTCGGCTCCTCATACACGTGGTGGACAGCGTGATCATCTGTGTGTGTGTGTGCGTGTATTTGCGTTTGCGTATGTGTGCGTGAGGTCGTGTTGAAGAGGCATCGCAAAGTCGAGAGTGTGGAAGCCAACATTGAAAGGTCAGGTTGAAGGTTAGGTTCAAGGTAACATGAAACAGTTCAAAGAGGAACGAAACACTCCATGTTTCACCACACACATATTGACATGACGAATGCATGTTGCTACGATGTCACACGCAGGGTGCACGACGACGACGACAACACCACCAACAACAACACCACCAACAACAACAACAACAACAACAACAACAACAACAACAACAACAACAACAACAACAGCAACAGCAACAACAACAACAACAACAGCAACAACAACAGCAACAGCAGCAACAACAACAACAACAACAACAACAGCAACAGCAGCAGCAGCAAGGGCGCACAACGCACAGGTTGGGTTGAGATATGTTGCTCTGCTGGGAGGTGGCTCGCTGGTGCCATCAAGGCGGTGCACCTGTGTTTTCTTCAAGTGCACAATCACCAGCGCCACAATGATGACAATCAGCACAACAGCGCCAGCCGCCACACCAACAATGATTGGCAGCGGGTCTGCTTCCGAGCCAGACTTTGAGGCGTCGAGAGTCGTGCTCTCAGCGGCTGTGGAGGCTGCACCGGCTGATGTAGTGCTTGTGCCTGTTGCTGTTGTCGTAGTTGTTGTTGTAGTTGTTGTCGTCGTCATCGTAGTTGTAGTAGTAGTTGTTGTTGTCGTCGTCGTAGTTGTAGTTGTAGTGGCGGAAGTTGTTGTAGTCGTTGTCGTCGTCGTCGTCGTCGTCGTCGTCGTCGTTGTAGTCGTGGTAGTCGTTGTAGTCGGTGTGGTGGTGGTACTTTCTGGAGCAGATGTTGTTATTGTCGTGGTAGATGGCGGAATGACACAGAGATTGGCGAAACAGAACCCTGTCCTCCCGTCTTGCGTGCACTCAACGTAGTTTGGGGCGCCCGTGCATGTGGACTTCATCGTCCCACGACACACACCGTTCAGACACATGTCGTTGTCCGTGCCATCATCCTCATCGTCACTACGCCGCGCACGAGCATGCAACCGCATAGTGTGAGATGCGCGGGTGACGCATGAAGATACAAGGGGACGAGCGGCGACAAACACAAAACAGAGTAAAGTGCCAAAACGAGGGACAACCACACACGCGCACATCCGTTCGCACACCTGTTTGCACACGTTCACATACTTGCATGCACACACACACACACGCACACACAAACACACGCGCACACACGCACACACACACACACACAAGCATGCACCAACATAAAAAAAAAAAAAAAAAAACACATTCACCAGCTTACACAGACACAAACACATGCACCATGCAGCTACATACGCACCATGCCATGCCATCAAAGTGCTGCGGGTCTTTCAAAGCAGACGCCAGAGACGCAGTAGGAGTCCGCACATTGGGAGTCCTCGCAAACAACGCCCATGCACTTTGTCCTGGGCCCTGCAACATCCCAAGCAATGGCACTGGGTCCGT